CTGCTGGCTTTGGTGAGGCATGCAGTTTGAACTTCTTACAACTGCTTGCCTATGCAACCTGATCAGTAGGTCATGCTCAGGGACAGTTCTTGAGCTCCATTGGAAAGGACCAAATGCTTGTCACCATCCATTGCAAGAAAACTTTGGGTCCTTGAACCTTCAGTCCATCTCTCACAATGCAAAGGAGCTTCTCTGGATTCCTGAGACTATGCACCTTTCAGGTAAAGCACACTTTTAGGAAGCTCACCAGGGAAAATCCTCCCTAGAGCAGACACCACCTTAAGACGTGGGTAGCTTCTCTCAAGCAGTCAGAATTAGACTGGTGGGGGCTGGTGATCTAAAGCACCTACTTAGAACAAGCACCTACTTAGAACAAGCTTAGCAAAGCACAGGGACCGCAGTTCAATCCCCCAGCACTACATGCCAGCCAGCCCCGTCCCCTGGTGGGCTGAGCTGGCCACACACACACACATACACACATAAATAAATAAAATTTTAAAAAAAAGAATTAGACTGGTACTTCTCTGATTATTTTTTCTTCTCTCTGTCATTTGACAGGAGTAGTGATTAGACTGGCAGCCACTTGTTCTCAGCCCTGTTTTAGTTTAACCAATTAGTGGGTGCTAGATTAGTTAAGCTGAACAGGGAAGAGTCTGGGCAGTTACTACTTTTTTTTTTTTTGGTATTGGAAATCAAACTTGGACCTCATGTTTGCCTGCCAGGCACTGTGCCACTGAGCTACACCCATGGCCTGGTACTTTTTGTTGCATATGGATAAATACATTGGGTGTTGCAGAGACTCAGTTCTAAAAACCAACAGACAACTTAATTGATTAAATTAGATGGTTTCAGGGCTGGCCAAATAGCTCAATGGATTAATGCACCTGCACGCAGGCACAAGGGCCGGGTTCGATCCCTGGGCCTGCTGTGCCAGCCCCCCTGCAGGGCATGCTGAGCAGATGATTGAGACTGGGTGTGGTGGTGAGTGCCTGTAATCCCAGCGCTTGGGAGGCTGTAAACAGGAGAATCACTACAAGTCCCATCTAGTAGTCAGACTCTGAACACCCTGTAGACTCTTCCCTAAAAATACAGAAAAATAAATAAATAAATTAGATGGTCTTTTCTGTTGGCTCATTCTTCAAAGATTTGATTTTGTTTAGGGACTTTGAGGGAGCGCACTGCAGGCTCTTAATCTTACCCTCTTGACTGCTAGCAGTCTCCCTAGGCAGGGATGGTCACAAATGCCAGTGTGTAGCCAGCTGAAGCTCCACTACCAAGACCACACTAGCATTGGTTTGGATCAGTGGTAGGCCCAGCCCAAATCCATGTCCTCCCACAAGACTGTGGGAGGATTTATACAGGTCATGTTCTCACTGAGGGGGAGTTTGACCAAACTCAGAGCATCATCAGTACCATTCTCCTAGGTTTTCAGTCTTGATCAGGCTACAGTCTCCTTGTAATCAAGCATTTTTTGAGTTCTTGTCAATCTAGCTGAGGAGAGACCACTTAGTTAAGTTGTAACTAGCCCGTAGGCTGCAGCCAATCAAATTGCTCTGTATGTCACACCCTGGTTTTTCTGTACTGCCTGATCATGTTGGTGGTTGGAGTTTCTAAAATTTCCTCTGGTGCTGAGAGTCACCAGATTTGCAATTTGGTTTTGTTTTCTCAAACAAACTCTAACTGACTGAAAGAATTTTCTCTTTATGTTGAAAATAAATAATCCATGAGAGTTAAACCGTTGGGCTTTAGGCGAGTGAAGTGAGAAGGCATGTATGTCAGTGACAAGCTTCTCCGACCTCATTTTATATTTATAGAACTCATCCACACTAGCAAGCATAGCAGTGGCTCCTGTTTTTGTTGTTTTGAGACAGGGTCTTGCTATGTAGTTTAGGCTACTTTGTACTCACTTTGCAGCCCAAACTGACCTTAAACTCATGGATCCTCCTGCCTTGCCCCCCCACCCCCACCCCAAGTGTTGGGATTAGAGGCATGGCTCTAATCCTCCACATCTGGCCTGGCTCCTCTTTTTATTGCCTTATGGATATGTCATACTTCAAATATCTTTCTGTTCTGGAAGGACAGAAGTGTTTCCAACCTAGGATTTATACAGTGAATATTCCTGTTCATGGTTCCTGGTGCCCGCCTGCCAGTCTTTGTCTAAAGCAGTGCTTCTCACACTTGAATGTGCATCAGAGGAACCTGGAATTTTTGCCACACTCCGTCCCAGGGTTTGTGGCTCACAAATGGCTAGAAAATTTCCCTCCTTCTTTCTTACCTATACTAAGAATTGAAGCCAGCATCTTACACTGAGCTGTACCCCAACTCTTTTTATTTTTTATTTTGAGACATGGTCTCACTACATCACTAAATGTTCTGGCTGAGCATATACTTCTGATCCTTCTCCCCCAGCCACCCACAGCGATGGAATTACCAGTGTTTGAGTTTCTACCCAGGTCACAGGTGATTCTAATACTGATTTAGGGGTTACCCTTTGAGTACCACTGTCCTAAAGTACACACACTGGCACAGTTTGATGTAGGGTGTCGACTTATTCAAGCTCTAATAGGTAATGCAAAATTATTTTCCAGAGTTGTACCAGTTTACACTCTTACTAGCGATCAATGAGTTCTTGTTGCTTGATATCCTTGTCAATACCTGAATGTTGTCTTTAATATTTGTGCATATCTCATGTATATGAAATGGTATCTCATTGTGTCTTCAATTTGCTTTTCTCAAAGTACAGATGATGCTGAGCATCTCTCTTCTGGGATAGACCTGTTCATATGTCTTTTGCCTCTCTTGGTACTAAGTTTTTAATCTTACTGAGGGAAGGGAAGTACTTTTAAGATCTATTCTACATTTAAGATCTATTCTACACAATAGATCTATTCCTGTGGTTGCATATATCTAAATACCTTTCCCACACATCAATTGTCTCTTCATTTTTTATGGTACTGGTTGAACAGAAGTCCTTAATGCTAATGTAGTCAGATTTGTCAGTCTTTTCCTTTATGATTCATATTCTTCATGTATTTAAGAAAACTTCCCATCTAGGCATGAAGGTACACATCAATAACCCCAGCACCATAAGAGGCCAAATCAGGAGGATCACACAAATTCAAGCCCAATCTAAGCAATTTAGTAAGAGCTAAATTTTTTGGCCATGGTCTTGCTATGTAGTAGAAGCTGCTCTTGAACTCACTGTATAGACCAGGATGACCTAAAAGTCACAGCAGTCTCCTGCTTCAACTTCCTAAGTACTAGGATTACAGGCATATGTCACCATGTCCAGCTCAAAATTTTCCTGTGCCAAAGTTTTAAAACTACGTTCCCACATAGCATTCAAGATGTTTTATGTATTGCCTTTTATATAAGACTTCTTAGCGTTCTTTGTAAGTTTTTTTTTAGTCTGCCAGGAATTGATTTTTGAGCAGGGAGTGATATCAAGACGCAGTTTTGATTTAATTTAATTTTCTGTCTTGGAATATGTGAATAAACTCTTGTCTAAGTGTTATTCTATATTCCATTTGCTGTCTCTATCAAACTCAAATATTTGTTACTGAACTTTCTATCTGTTCTACTGGACTACTTTAAATTAGTAGCATGCTTCTAAATAGTGTAGCACTATAATAAGTCTTAATATATTATAGAACAGCATTGCCTACCTTACTGTTGTTTAGGAATGGCTGGGATATACATGACCTTTTGCATTTCCATGTACAATTCAGCTATTCTAGTTCCATCAAACACACACACACACACACACACACACACACACACACACCCTTTGGGATTTGTTTGGATTATATAGATTTTTGTCAATAGAATGGACATCTTCCTGCACTGAGTCCTTCTATGTAAGAGCAATAGCATATCAGTGTATCTTTCAAATTATGTCTTTTTTTTTTTTT